TAAAGCAATGGGAACTTGTTAGAACAAGACTCTCCTTTTCGCTTCATTATCATGGGAACTTTGGATGTAGTATTAATTCTGATTCTTAATATAAAAATTTGTTTAATTTTATTTTAATATTAAATATAATATTTTAATTCACTTATCTTATATTTTTTTTTTTAAGATTATCCTTATAATAATAGTATTTTAACCAATATATCTGATTATTAAGAATATTTTAAAAAAAACAACACCTATTTATTATAAATAATTAACTTAATTAGTTTCTTTAATCTATCAAAACTAATCAACTAGTTTTATATTAAGGATCAGAGATAGTATTATTTTTAAAAAGACTCTGTTCTGTCTTCAAGGCATGGAAGTCCAAATTACACCTATTTTTCATTGTTAAGAAATACGAGTATATATTTTCCGGAATTCTAAATTATCAGCTACTCCTCCGGTCTTTAATATAGGACCAATTCTTGAGTTGGTTTTGGTCCTAAATATAAGACCCATTTCTCATATTTATCAATTTTCTCTAAATTACTCCTATGGATATTTCCTCAACTATAATCAAGTAGAAGAGGGAGATGGGGTATTAAGAAAGATGATTATGGTGTTTTAGGAAAAATGTGTCACTTTTCTTATAATTAACTAATTTATCTAACTTCCTTAATCTAATCAAATTAGTTAAATAGGTTTTATATTAAGGACCGAAGGAGTATTTTGTATGTAATAAAAGTCTAATTATAAAAACAGACCAGTCGAGAGCTTGATTCTTAGCTTTTGTGTATGAAACGAACCTAATTAGAAGAAGTGTATGATTTATTTTCAAACCTAGTAAAATAACATCGCAACAACTTTTGATAAAAAACACAACATCATAAGACCTTTCATCATAACATCAGACGTGCGAATTCCACCGGCCAACCACTGCCAGTCTCATCCGTATCAAATTTGTCCTCGTTCCCTGTCGCAGGTATAGTGTCCATGGTCCTACCAAATTATAATTTATTTCTCTTACCGCAACAACTAGTTTCACTTTTAATCTAGTACTCTTCCGATTCTAAATATAGATCTTAGAATCGGAAGGGTTTTATATTTAGAACCGGAGGAGTATTAAATATAAGATCTTAGTATAATAATCTTATATTTAGAATCAGATGAGTACTAGATATAAGATTCTAATTTATTTTGTCTCTTATATTTATTAATCTTTTCTCAAGGTAGCCCTAATATAGTAGTTGCACATGTTTGATATTTTATCAAATGATAGGTTTAATTAATACACATAATTAGTAAAGATATTTTATAAAATATAATATCTATTTATTAGAAATAACTACTTCAACTAATTTTTTTATTCTACTCAAATTAATCAACTAATTTTTATATTAAGCAGCGGGGATAGTATTACGTAACAAAACAAAAGAAACATAATTGGTATGGCAGCCTAACTTATAAAGCAAAAGGCAGAGTAATATTTTGGACCTCAATATATTTTATGAGCCAAAGGAGAGATCTATTGTTTATTTATTTTGTTTCTATCAATCCTTTCCAAGTTTAATTATATAGAGCAAGTAGCACTATTACCCACAATCAACACAGAAGAAGACATATCTGAAAGATAACAAATCTATTGTTAAAGCAACATAAAAAGTCAATAAATGATTAAATGTTGATTCAAGTGCTGCTTCTTACTTTCACATTGCTGTAGCTAAAATCCACTTTTTTTTTTACTACAACCAAGGATTGATTACTAAGCATACCCAATAAGGATGTGGCTCACACTACACAAAAATAAAACTTACGTTTGAATTTTGTAATCAATATAAGAACCTGCTATAATATTTATAAGAGAAAATTAACCTAAGTCTCTATAATTTTTTCCCTAATTAATGACCTAAAAAGCAAGTAAAAAGATGCGATAAAAAGAAGAAAAAATTACAAAGACCTAATTAGTAAGGGTGTGGTAAAAAAAAACCTGATTAAAAATAATGTGCAGTGATAAGGACTTGCAGATATTTTCTCAATGTATAAACACTTTAATGAGCATGTGTGAGCTGCCAAGCATATCTAGGGGTGTGTAGGTAAGAACAAAAACATGATTTTAAAATACTTTACAGTATACAAAGTAAATATATAAAAAATTTGTCTCAATTTACAGAAAAGTGTTTTTAGAGTTATCTAAACATCTCAATCTAAATAAGTTCCAACACCAAATCCACAATTCTTTTTTTTTTTTTTGGGTTTTAGATATAAAAAACTAGCACCAGAATAATGGAAAGGAGGAGGCTAAATAAAAGCATGGGATCGTGGGGTGGAATTGCTCGATGGAAATTAAAGGACCTACAAAGTCGGCGAGACATTAATATTGATGGGATGGCTTGTTTGATATTTAATCTAAGCAGGCCAAACAAGTGGGGTTGCCTATAGGTCTCTAAGTCACACGGTCTTTTCCTCCCTTTTGTACTCTGACTCCTCCATTTAGGTATTTCTATTTGCACTTGAACACTGCTATTTTCTTCAAAAGAATTTGACATATTATTTGCCGACAAAAATTTTTAAAAAAATATTACTCCTCCGGTTCTTATTATAAGACTCAATTTGACTTTTTATTTGGTCCTAATTATAAGACCCAATTCATTTTGTCTCTTATATTTATGCATTTTTTTTCAAGATAATCCTTCTAATAATGATAGTTTTAGCTAATATACTTAATTAGCAAGGATATTTTAGGAATGACAACACTTATTTATTATAAATAACCAACTTAACTTACTTCTTTAATCTCCTCAAATAAGTCAATTGGGTCTTATGATTAGGACTGGAGGAGTATTAATATTTTGCTTATTCATCCATGAGAACCCAAATTGGCCATGTACATGGGACCAATCCTTGCAATGGGCTGCAGCCTACATGCTTTAACAATTCTCAGGCTTAGGTCCATAGCCCACGATTTTTTCACAATCATTAATTAATACCATCCAAGGTAAAATAATTCCCCCAGGATGATTTTTTTCTTACTTCCAAAAAGAATCCAAATATAAAATTTTATTTCATGAATAGTAGTCTCTCTAGTTCTTAATATATGAACTAGGTAGGGATTAAATTTTATCTCAAACATGATATCTCAGTAATCTTTCGTATTTATATTTTCTCTGAAAATAATTTACATAATTTATGAAAAATAATATAATCTAATATTGTATAGGTATAACTTCCATATCATATTTGTTATAAGAAAAAAATTGTTTGACTTATTTATTACAATCTTTGGTCCTAAACATAAGAACTAATTAACTAATTTGAGTAGATTAAGAAAATAAATTAAGTTAGTTTTTTTGTAATAAATATGTGCTGTCTTTCTTAAAATATCCTTGCTAATCAAGTTTATTGGCTAGAACTGTTATTATTAGAAAGACTATCTTGAAATAAATAAATAAATATGAGAAACAAAGTGAATTAAAGTCTTATATCTAGGATCAAAATAAAAATCAAACAAGATCTTATATCAAAGACTGAAATGGATGTAGTATATTGAAATTAGTTAAACAATTCTTATATTGAAAATTTAAGTAATGGGAGTATTATCCTTTTAGCCAAAATATATATTTATTTTCCCAAGGTGGGTTAATGCCGGCTTATAGCCGTATTTTGGCTGTGGCGGAACCATATTAATTAAATGCACGTGAGCTCGCCTGATCCTAACCAACCAAGTCACAAACTCGGCAACGTGTGGCCGCCCGCCTTTGTGTTAACGAGGTTTCCAAACGAACTGTTGCAAGATTATTCACCCATAACCCAATCCCTGAAAAAATAAATAATAATAAAAAGAAAGAAAGAAAGCAAAAGGAACTGCAAAATAATGTTTCATGACACATAATACTGCTTCTGATTCTAATTATAAGATTTTATTTATAAACTACAAATAAGGGATTATAATTAGAATAGGAGGTAATAATATCGTGTGATATCATGTTCAACACTAAATGTAAAAACTTTTTTTAATAAAAATTTAAATTTTGATTTGTCATATTATGAAGAACTAATTATTACACTAGAGACAATCTGGTTGATATTATTCATAACTTTTATTTATAAAAGTAAACTGTTTTTTTTAAAATGAAAATACCAAGTGAGGCCCAAAAGTTGAGCCTCGCAAATCGCAATAAAGTCCAGGCGCCGGTGGTCTTATGACTTTTGTGAAGACTTGTGCTTCTCGTTCCTCTAGAGAAATTAAGATTCCAATTTGACTGTTCCTTTTCCTATGCATGGGATCATCTATGAAAAATGTAGCTTCTTGTACATTTTATCACACCTTTTATGTCACTTATTGTGGGAACACATAGTATAATACAGTCTTCACAATTATATTACACATATTGGAAATATGTGGAGTTAGTAGATATCAAGTTTTGGCAGTAAAGTCACCGAAGACCGCATAGCGCAGTGGATTAGCGCGTTTGACTTCGGATCAAAAGGTCGTGGGTTCGACTCCCACTGTGGTCGGACGCATATAGTACTATTTTTTCTTTCCCTCGCAATGGGAAACGCCGATCCAAAACCGGTTTTTTAATCAAAACCTTTTGATTTTCTCACCCAATCCTCATTTGGATGAGGAAGCCATGCTAGGGTTCACTTCTCTCTACCAGCCCTCAATCTCTACTCCATTTTTTCCAGCTTCAACGCAAAGCCCTTCTTGCCGTTCTTACTTCTCCCCCTTCTCTTCTTCTTTTCTGAAAACCCAACCTTTGATCCCCAGACAACCCACTACACTTGTGGTATTCGCAGAGAACAATAATGGGCCGAACGAACTGAAGGAAGAAGACAAACCAGAACAAGACGGCGTTTCTTCAAATGGGGACAAGGATAATTCGGGTGAAGATCGACGACCTTTCTTCAATTTCAACTGGCGGAGTCTCCTTGATCCTGATCCTGACAATGTGTTGGCCCTTTGTTTGACGGGTCTGCTTACATGGGCAAGTGTTCAAGTTCTCTGGCAACTCTTTTTATCTCATTGGCCATTCTTCTTGCCGCGCTCAAGTATTCTTTCATTGCCGCTCTTCTTATTTTCATTCTCATCACCCTTCTTTAGATCATGGTAATCGATTCTCCTATAGTGTAAATCTTCCCTGGATGAGTTACCGATTGGTTTGAATGACATTTCAAGTTCCGATGTACTGTAGAATCTACTTGTGCATAGTTCTCTTCATTCTTGATTCAGTTTTTCTTTCTTTGAGAGCTAAGATGTGAACCTGTATAAATGGCTCTTAAATTGAGAATGAGGGATGACATGTGAATGGATGGAGCATCTCTCATTTTAGTTCATACTAATTTCGTGAAATTACTTCTTTCTCTTAATTTCCGAAGGAATGTAATGAAGAAGCTGGGTTTATACTATCTCCTCTCCTTAGTATAATAGTATACACTTTGTAGGCAATTTGCACTACACTAATGGTAGTACCATTTTTCACTTGTAACATAATGCAATACGTTAACACCAATGATTAAAGAACCGGACCGGACGGTCGGATCGGTTGAACCGTCACCCAGACTCGTTAACGGCTCGGTTTGGACCAAAAAACCGTTCACATAGTTGAGCCGGATTGGACCGGAGTTGAGCCGTTATTAAGCCGGAAACCGGAGTTGGACCGGGAACCGGAACGGTTTTCAGAAAACCGGACGGTTTTTTAGTCTGACTAAAAAATACTAAAAAATTTAAAAAAATAGAAGAAAAATAAAAAAATTGATCCCCTTAAATATCCTAATATATTTTTAGACTATTTATAACCATATAGTATTATTTCATTGAAAATTTCATATATTGTGGTGTTAAAATCATGAGTCGCTAGTCTTTTTGTTTCGATATTTGGTCTATCTTTTAAAAAAATATTTTGATTTGAATGAATTGATAATTTGTAATATCATTAAATATTTTAAACATACATAAATTTAAATATATAAGGTTTTAGTCCATTTTCAATGATTTCATTATAATTGTAGATTATTTAAATGCATTTCTAAATTATTTAATAATTTGATATTTTTCATATATACTAATTATATGTATATAATATTGTTTTAAATTAATTATTGCGTCACCGGTCTGACCAAACGGTCCGACCGATCCGACCGATTGAACCATGACCCGTTGATTTTTCCGGTTCAACTTCCGGTCCGGCTTTTAAAACATTGGTTAACACTCTTTCTTTTCACTCTTTTTTCTTCTCTCTTTTTTTTTTCCTTTTTTGTTGAAATGTTGCAACTGCTTATCTGGTTGACTTTTCATCGCCACCTTTGTGTTTATTTAAGGTGACATTATTGACTGATGTTAAGAGATATGAAATCTGTTGATCACATTTATGAGCTAGGCATCTGTTCTCTTAGAAAGTTATAACCAACGGAGCCAGGTACCTATGTACACATTTACGGAGCATTCAGTGGACCGCACTAGAATGATCAACATCTGCTTATAGTTCACTTCTTAGAAGGAAGGAGCAATCTTCAATCACAATATTGACCAAGCTTAATGATAGAAATCTTTCCTCTATGGAGGCAACAAATCCTCGCAACCATAAATGTTTACAAGCTGCAAGTGTGCGTAGCAGGTTCAGAAGCTATTCTTGCAAAAAATGGGAATCAAGAATACCTTCAAGTTCTTTTTGCCTTAGCCACAGGTGAAGCAACTCAGCCTCAAGCATCTCTGGTCTAAATATCCTCAAACGTAAATGTTTCTTAATCCTATGTTCTCTAGCCAAGTCTGGTATCTGCAGACCCATTTCTCACGTTTACAGTTGGATCTTGTCATCAACGAACCAGCATCAGTTTTGGTAGCCCTCTCCATCAAGCACACCGGGAAACTTGTGTGGAGGAAGAATTTTCGACTGCACAAAGAATTGAAGCATGGTCTCTCGTGCCCTTACCGCCAGAAAATTTACCCATTAACTGCAAATGGCCATTCATGATTAAGCTTAATGCAAATGAGGTTGTTCAAAGCTAGACTCGTAGCTAAAGGCTCCCCCCAAAAAAAAACCAAAAATAAAGGGGCGCTTTTTAAGATGATGCAAGAATTGACAGATGTCAAATGTGAGGCAGGAGCATGTAAAGTTCAAATACTTTGATGCGTCAATCAAGATTGTGTTATTTATGGATGTTCTGGATCTGAATGTCCGTCTTTAAGAGCTGGGAGCATTGGTGTACATGCGGTTTAAAATGAGTCAGTACATGTACTTTTAAGTGTATCTATTTGAAACGCCATGTCATATAATACCTTGTTTGGACAAAGGATTAACAAATTATCTAAAAGTAGCAGACAATATTGCATGTTTGGATTTTCATGGTTGACGTTTTAAAAAATTAGTGGTTCTTGTTAAATTTGGCTTCCACTGGTTGAGGCGTATTTTTCCCATTGCATTGGTTGGTGTGCATGTGCTTTATTAATTGTTGTTTAATTTCATTGTTTATGTTTTCACATAGTTTTTCTTTTCTTATTTAATTTTCATATAATAAAGAAAACTGTGGGACCCTCAATAAATAAATTTGCGTTTTTTTAAGTATTTTGTCATACACATAATAATAAACTATAATATAAAATAATTTGTCGCTTATAATAAAGTATAGAATAAACTAAATTGTTTTAAATTTTTAGTTTAGTGATATATGAGTTCATATGAGAGGTAACACATTCTAAAATAACTATCGTTTCTCTCGTCCTATTTATAAGGTAGAAGAAAAAAATTTATTAGTTTTATTTATAGGATAGAGAAAAAAAATTTCATATGAATATGCAATTTTACTTTTCAGAGTTAATAAAATTTAAAAATTTTTTTATGTATATAAAATATATTAAAAATGGCTTATAAATAAGATGTGGGGGTAATTTTTAATATCCCTGCGCATCACATTCATATGATAATGACTATGTCATGAGGAACTGTGCAAAGATGTAGTCCCAGTCAGAATAATGTCAAAAGAAGAAAATACATCAAACATTTGCTTGGCTGCACGTGATCCGTGCTCTGTCTCTGGGATCATCTTGTAACTTAACTGTTCAAACTAATAGCTTAGTTTCGATATGTTTTTCCTCGCAAACCAAATGTGAACAGAGTGATACACCATAACAAAGAGGCTCTTGGGACATGACAGGCTTCAAAGACCAATGGAATCATAAATCATGATCATAGATATTAATATAAAATATAAAAGTCTGAGGAATTTCACGGTTCATAGTATAGTTTCAATACTTTCAATTTCATGAATTTTTACCCTTCTAAAAATTAACAATTAGAGAGATGGAGATGAACACCTGATGAGAGAATACTTATGAGTGTGTAAAAGGCAATATCCATGTCAGTCAAAGAATTAAGTGCTGTTTAACAGCTCAATTCACTTACATTAAATGTACATTATCCTCAAAAATAATTTTGCACTTTAAACTAAAATGAGTATTGTTACACTGAACAAAACTTGAAGGTAATAACTAAAGCTCCACTTAGTACCTGAGCAATAAAGGTAACCAGGAGCATCAAAATGACATCACCAAAAAATGATCTTATATGTACACATACACACACATATTTCTTTTGAAACGATGTTCTACTTCTGTATAAAGTCAGAGACATAGATCAGCATGAACTTGTTCACCCTTGAGTATCGGCAATCATTTGCTGCAGAAAGTTCATAATATAGGAGAAAGAGGGGCGGCTCGAGGGTTCACTACAACATAACCAGGTTGCCATCAGAATGATAATGGAGATAGAGGTAAATCTGTGAATTAAACATGGAATTACAAAAAGAAGGAGGGACAGAATTCTTAGGCACGCCAATCTAAATGATAGACAAGCCAAGAATCATGCAAGCAGAGCCAATCACTTTTCATTGATATTCACTATTTTGACATACTTCCATGTTTTCCCAGTATTTGCTTGATCTATCTATCCATCTTTTGGAAGCAGAATATTCCTCAAAATACCTTATACACACAGTACAAGCATCTGTTGCTCCAAAATTTATTTTGTTTTATTTTTAATTTTTTTTAATTTTTTATTCTACTTACACGGCCCAGCAGAGTTGAATCAAGGCAACCACTTTGGGATTCACATAGGTCGGCATCTCTAGTCTTCTGTCCATGAAACCAACGGCTGCAACAACCTGTAGTAACGGAAGACTGCTTGTCAAGAGAATAGCAAGCCAAACAAGTGGATGTTGAAACCTCAATCCAATATTTTGTCAAAGCTTTTGAAGAAAAAAAGACAAAGTCTTTACTCTGTATATATATAGAAGAACAGCAAAGCAATGACGACATCCATAATAGATAAGAACACTTATATTTTCTTCTGTCCATGGTATTTACAGCTTAGCTAACAATCTAAAGCGCATTGACAAGAAAACAACCTGAGACGGATTTAAATTTCTCCAAGGTTGTTGCAGGGTCACTAGTTCCCACAGGATTACACCAAAGCTGAATATGTCACATTTTTCATTTGATGGTTCACCACGAATCACTTCTGGTGCCATCCACTCAGGCTGTTCATGTTCATAACAGAGACGTATTTAGATTGTGAAATGGCCAAGTAGGTAATTAAATACGAAAATGTCCAAAAGAATGAAATAGAACTTACCGTCCCAGCGGCTGTTTTAGATGAAAGAAATGTGTTTGCCTTGGTACGTGAGAGACCAAAATCACATACCTGACAGATAATGTTAAAATAAATTGTTGCCAATATTCTCACCATAATTTTTTTAATATCCATATATGTAAGACACAGAAATGATAAAGTTAAGCATCTGTCAATCATAATGGTGATGCAGAAAGGCAGGAGTTGCAAGGATGGGTGGTGCAATAGACCAAACAGTTTAAAATACTAGCACGCCTCTTAAAATATGAACTACGACTACAAGACTCTACGCATTTTAGGGCTCATTCCAAGACGTCTAGCATCTATCTATATCTATATATAATATAAGAATTCTAATAAGCCACACTATTTTGAAATTATAAGCATTATAGTTTATTTTTCAAACTTTATGCAACACAAGGGACATACTTAATGTATCTACGAAAAACAAGGGACAACGCATCTCCATCTAGGAATCCTAAATGACAATCTAACCATTGTTAAAATTTGGTAATGACAATGTTAGCAAATGGTGAATTGACTGGCCATCAGCTGACCCTTTCAGCCTCCAATATCACAGTAATGGATCAATCTTTGATTTTAGAATGAATCCTTAAAGGTGGAAGGAGTGGCCCCCCGCACACGCGCACACAGAGAGAGAGAGAGAGAGGAACAGGGTGAACTCTCTACTATTTTTCGTGTCCTATCCCCTTGGAAGAAGTGTGTCATTTGCGCCCCAAAATGAATTGAACAAAAGAATGTCCTTAAAGAAGCTGCTATAACAACTTTCTCAACTCACGTTTATTCTGGTGCAGGCATTGAATAGATATTTTATAGGAATAAGATCCTCCAGATGAGTCTGCTTCCCATAAAAGTTTGAAGAACCAAATTTTCAAAATGACATCCATTAATGAGATAATCCATATATCACCCACGATATATGTCACGGATCAAAGACACCTGTGCACAAGAAGTTTCAAGATGACATCCATCCAAATATACCTGTCAGTGGATGGACAGATGCAATTGCAGAATTCGTGTGGATTTGAATTATCTTAGAGGTTTCTCACTAGATTCTAGGCTGGTCAATGCGTCAAGTTTGACCTGCCCATTACAATTTGCTCCCCCATCCACCCATTTGCCACCCCTAATCACAAGCCCCTCAATGACTTGGAACTCAAATACCCTCTTTCCTCATTGCAAATTCATGTTTCAATATTTTCTCAAACAACTGATAAATAAAAGTTTCCAAGGGTTAAAAAATCAACTTGAAGGATTTTCTCAAATAAGCAAAAAATCCAAACCGAAGAAAAATGTGAAGTTGCATCAAACGTTCCCATTGATGGTATATCAATACAAGGTCATGGCCTTTGAACCCAACATTTATAAAAAGACTTGGAATCTTTTAGATCCTTCATTCTTGTTCAGTGACCATCCATATAATTTTTAAATGATTTCACAGACATGTGACACAACTTAGAGCAGGCTCTCTTAAAAATGAGGAAAAAGCACAAAAATATATCAAATAAAAGTTCTTAGTTTAGTTTGCCCCCAAAAAAAAAAAAAAATTCTTAGTTTAGTTTCTGAGCACTTGGGTATTAAATCAAATAATGCAGCAAGCTCCAATAAGGTATAGATTCCTAACACTGAAGTCATCTCCATCTCGGTAGGATCTGAGTTTGAATCCAAGTGGAAGGCAAAAAAGGCAATGCATGAGGCACCATTTAGCTTTAGATCAGTGGTATAGGAGTCATCTCTAAGCCCAAAGGATCTGAGTTTGAATCCAAGTCAAGGCCAAAACCAACCAAGAAAAAAGGCCATGTAGCAAGCAAAGCAAAAGTTCTCTGAAGTCACCTTGACCGTGTAAGTATCGTCCACCAAAAGATTTGGAGACTTAAGATCTCTATGAACAATAGGAGGTCTCATTTGATGAAGATAATTCATTCCGCTTGCCTGGACAACATAGACAACAACGCAAAAGTATTATTCTGCGTTTGATGGAAAAAAGACATGGAAACAGCAAGACTAGCAGCTTTTTCGCAATGAGTGCATACCACATCATAAGCCATACTCAACCGACGCTTCTCACTGAGAACTAATCTAGCATCTGGCATGCGCAGAAGTTCAAACAAGCTTCCTCTGAAATTCCAAACAGACTGTTTACTTGGTGACACTCTTTTTAACTTCAAGTAAGCACAAAGGTGAGTAGCACTTTTAAAGATGATCATTCCAGAAAATCATTGCACCTTGATAAATATTCTGTCACTATTGACAAGTTGGGTTGTTCAAAAACTGCACCCATGAAGAGAACTATGTTTGGATGCCGCAGACGTTTCATGAGTGATACCTAAGAAACAAACTGTTATATTGAAGAGAAATCAAGCGGAATAATAAAGATATATGCACTAAATCTACTAGAAAGCATACCTCCTTTCTAAATTCTTCATATCGTTCTGCATCAAAACCTTGAACCTTGAGAATTTTCACAGCAACATCCTAAAAATTACATGTTCTGGATTAAGTAACAATATTAGATACCCCGACCCCTCCCAAAAAATAGAAAGAATGGAGAATGCAATAAAAGAATGGAATAGTGGCAGCACAACCAACACAAAGATAATGACACCCTTGGAAAAAATAACGATATTTGCAAGTAGTCCTACTTTTCAACTACTTTAGTAAACATTTTTTTTTTACTTCATCTGTATTGTTTCCTACCTGAGAAAAATGTTAAACCACAAATCAAGAGGCCAGAAGCAGAAATGTATGACTTGTAACACTCAATCAGTAGACATAAAATTTTAAATTTAAGCCGTCGATCATAGGCCTAAATCAGTTTCTATCACTTAAAAATATAAAAATGAGAACAAAGAAAACCCAATCACAAAATGTTCATCAAAATATCTCTTCAATTATGGTGTCCAGGTAATTCCATGTCAACTTAACAGGGTTACAACGCTCAGTAAATTGGTCCAATATGCTCCACGCCACCACTCACCAGCAGCGCAGGCTTACACAAGGAGAATTCCTCCTACCTTCATTGTTTGCCTATCCAGAAGCCAAAAATTTTTTTTTGGAGGGGCGAGGTTGGATTCATGATTTGCTATTATTTGTTGGCTAATCCGGTGATGAAGTGATGAGGGAATTTTTTTTAGGCATGACAAGTAAGAAGTACTCTTAGCAGTATCCATGATGGGAATCATAGTATCTTTGCTAGAGGTGGTTTTGCCAGCGTGGATAGAACCCACAACAGCTGGAGGTTGCCTGAAGAGGGATGGTTCAAAGTTAAGTAGTTAACATTAATGGTGTCATTTCTGAGTTGTATGCTCAAGCCAGACGTGGAGGTATCTGTAGAAATGAAAGTAGCTTTATGCATGCCTTCATTTGCAACTTAGGTGAGGCAACCCTCTCTCGGCTGAACTGTGGGATTATATGCTTGGGCTGAAGTTGGCATGGGATCACAGTTTTAGAAGGGTTCTCTTAGAAACGGACTCAGCTGATGCAGGGAAACTTCTGAATCGTAAGATGTCAGTATGCATTCGCATAGGGAAGTTCGGCAGCAAATCAAGGATGCTGACCGGCACTCTACTGCTGTGGTTCCTGGGTACCAAGCTACCTATGATCCTACTTTAAACTTGTCTTGTGTCATAGTGTTTGATACCTGTAGTAATAAGCAGCTTGATTCTGATTTAGGCTATAGCTGCTGTAGTTTTTTCACTGTTTTATTTTTAAAAAAAATCTAAGGCCATTACTTGGTTCTCTAGCACAACAGCACATCATCGTCAGGAACCATTTATGGTCCCCCAGAACCACCATGTAAATATGAACATGCTTATGATGCAAAATAATGCATCTTTAACAAGAAGTTGAGGAAAATATCGCTAAAAAAAAAAAAGCAATAAGAAGCTCCGGAAAATAAATCCTTACAGAACCACGCCAATCTGCACGAAGGACAGTTCCAAATGAACCTGAAATGCAGTTGCCATTCAAACTTATGTCCATTTTTTGGTGACACATTTCATTGAGATATATAAAAATGTGCGAAGCATCTGGAGACTTTTCAGCATGAAAATCATGAGGTGTCAAATGACATACCTGTTCCAATTTTATCTTTCAAAATAAGTTCGCTCCATAAAATTTCCAGATCATCGTCATCAAGATCAATCTTGTGACTCTGATTATCCAATACTGACTGGTTTGCCTTTTTGAATGACGCATACTCTTCTGTAAAAAGAAATTAGCTTGGCATATCAAATGGACGCTATACAATGCCAACGTAGTATGACAGCACCAGAACCTCCAGACAGAGTACATTGATTCTTGAGTTTATTAATTAGGACATGATTTTGTCCATTAAACATTAATCATTTTCAATGACTGGGTCATCTGCTCTTTAACATAGAGGTGATTCATTCTTATCAAACCAGTTAGATGAATTTTCCCACCTGCGTAGTTTGCATTAAAAGCTTCAGTAGGCTTTCGATCAATTCCATCACTATGATCAACTGCACCACCTGTCATGGTGGAAATCAGTACTTAAAGTATTATTTCGCCATTCACCATTAACAATATAAATAAAAGTTAAGATTTATTAGGTGACAATATCATGGGAGACAAAACACACTAGTTAGTAGACATATCAACATTTTTTTTTTTTAAAGCTGGAAATCATTTCATTATTGTCTTTATTGCGGTGAGAAAATAAAACAAATTTACAACCATAGGGCGAATTAAAAATAAGAACGCTACATGAACATTCCACTGACGTATGTTAATATTGTGACACTACAGAAGAAACTAAGAAAAACCACTGCATTAAAGCAAATTATTTACCACGTGTTAACAAGCATGAATCTTAATGCACTGCCCAGTTGAAATATTCTAAAACGTCTCAAATCTGACCAGAGAATCCAAGGCTGATTCCAGTCTATTTTTATGACAAGAACCCCGTCTTTTCTCAACCAGCTATTGTGTGATTAGCATTGATACCTGATGTTTAACTCCCCTTTTGGAGCATCAACCCTCCTCAATTCAGCTCTTCCATATGATTTTGGTTCATCCCATTTATTGTATTAATGTTTTCTTTTCTTTTTTTTATTTGCCTATGTTCTGTGTCAGCCCAAAAAGCAAGCTTATTTTGAATGAAATATGGCGTGTTAGTCAGATATATTTGCCCAAACCCGAAGGTCCACATAGCTGAACAAACTAGAATATCCTAGTAATTTATCTATAGCCATCAAATTTAGAAACTTCCCTCATAACTCTTCCACATTTCCATTCCAACCAGAAAGTCTAAATAGACAAGTTGGAGTACCCAGTTCCACCATGCTACTTCATCACCCCCCCCCCCCAAAAAAAAAAAAAAAAACCAAATGCAAGACATATGAACAGCGCGCACACAGAGAATCAGAGAAAATTACCTGATTTGGAGTCAAATACAAGTTGCAGGCCTTGACAGTCCATGAAATACAATTGGGCCAACGTCTTTGAATATTCAGCAGTTTCAACTGGCTTGAACTTCGGATGACATAGTGGTGAAGCAATTAATAATGAAGATGCAGAATTCAGGGAAGAATCGGGCTGGCTCATAGCCCCTGGTCTTCCAACCATATCAATCAAATACTCCCTGCAAAAGTGTATTCGATACTGTTTTCTTCTGATTTCTTCAGAACAGCATTTATATAACCAAACTGAATCCAAATAGAGGGAAGGCTTGTATATTTGTGCGTGTATTATATTCATATTTAATAGACGGAAAAATTAATTTGTTATGAGGAAAAGCATAATAAGTAATGCACACAATAATTTTATAGCCATTAGCCACAATGTTGTTATATTCTTTCCAACACTAAACAATTAATTTTAAAAGACAGATTTTTTTTTTTTTTAACCAAAATTAGTAGACAGATTCTAATACACCAATTTTTACCCATTTTAATTACTTCTCACCTAAAATAGCATTGCATTTAATTCAAAATAATAATTTGAAATTTACAGTTAGTTAATTTAATTAATTAATCAATGCAACAAACCTGTCAGGGCTGATTTGCACTAAACACGAGGCACCTACATCCTTTTTACAATACTTGCAACCCTTGACAATTCGGCATGGGAGGTTCACTGAATCAGCTAATACCTGCAATGTTAAACGTTAACAGTAGGTACTCAAGACGCCAAATTATAAGGGGAAAATGATACACTAAATGGAAGATATATTTTTGGTTGGGAAATTGATAATTATTCCATTGAGAATGACATTATACAAAATTCTAATAATTTTCTTACTATAAGAGTGGATAAAATACAAGCAAATGAAAAATTATGCTGAAATTTAATTTTAATTGGGGAATGGTGGCAAGGACTGAACGAAACCACTTGAACTCAAAAGCATTATGTTGAGTGAATGTTGGTTGAATCATTAGATAGATTTATTGTAATTCATAAAATATAATGCATTAAATTTATAGATAGAGCAAAAATAATACTTAAAGAGCAATGCTCGGGGACACATAAGCCAACAGTTAAGCTTCCAATTGGAAGAATGACAGAATGAAGGATGTCTTCTAGACTTTGAGTGCACTCCTTCCAGCGCGAAGATAAGTTTTCTTCGGTCCAGGTTTGGCCCCTTTCGAAAACAACAAAAGCTTGTTAAGAAGAGGTCAACAAAAAAGTGAATTCTAAGACAACGCTTTTTTACCTTTTCAATATCAAAGATGGGTGCACTTACCCCAACCTACTGCAAACAATATTTGCAAGGTGATCGATTAAATCCTTTCTAGTAATCCGGCTATTAGAAAGACTAACTATGCCATTTAGCAGTTCTCTCAAACCAGGATCTCTTGATTTGTCAATTGCAACCACTATAACTGACAAATCATCACATGGTTCAACTGACATCAGTGATTCAAATGACGGAATCAGGCCAACATTCTGCAGATCAGTGCTTATAGTCCATGAATATGCATCCATCCCATGGATAAGATAAAATCCATCTGGAATTTTGTCTGAGTATTGCAAACAACCATTGACCTGATCAATGTAAAAGGAAAAGGCATTTAAATCACATTTTTTAGAAACAAGAGTAACCCCACATGTTTGGGTGTGTGCATGAGTAAATGTGTGCACCCGCAATTGTCCGTGTATGCGAGATCATTGAATGTGCAACATTTACCTGGTTCAGTAAACGAGAAGGGATTTAAATTTCAAGCAAACAGCTCCAAATTTACTTGGTGTTCACAGCTAAGGCGCATATTATATTATATGCTCAAGTGAACTCACTTGATTATATTATATTACTCAAGTGAACTACTTGATCTGGTCCACGGAAAAAAAAAATTTAAAAGTCTGGGCAAACGGTTGAAAATTTACTTGATGTTATATTATTGGTACGACATTACTAAAGCAAACTAACAGTCAAATGCTAAGCAAAATTGCAAATAGATTCCATATGATTGACACGTAAGCAAATCAAGATGAAATTTTCCTTTGAAACCCAGGAATAAGTATGAGTTCATCACTTTCTGTTATTTATTTTATCTTCACAACGAATCCATTCATTTGAAATAAATAAAATTAAAAATATAACTTGAAGTATTCACAGACAATTATAAAGCAGCTCCCTTTCCTCCCCCCATGTCCCAAATTGAACCTTCCAACCATGATTTTTAGAAACAAATAAAAGGGAATAGCCACCAGAATCTTCCTTAATATCAGCAAGAAAATGAAAAGATAAAAATTTCAGTAGTTTAGATTAAATCCACATTTTTCAGGGAAAAAAATTGCATACCCAGAATCGATGAGACACTGCCTCAGCCGACTTGGAGGAAGAGCTGGATTCCAGGT